CCGGAGCAAAATCGGTCCCGTTGTAGTCAATCAGAGCAATTCCACTACTGCGCCATGCTCCGGCAGTGCGGCGCCGTGCGCCGCCCTCTGTTCCGGCGTCCGGCAAAAATAGAATCGATCCTATTTTCGCCAGACGCCAGAGCACCTCCGCAGTAAATGGACAGAAATCACAACTGCCCAACAGGAAAAGGAGCAAGCACAACTTCCGTTTTTCACAATAAATCGATAAACAAAAGGCGTTTTTTGTTTCATAAGCACAGGTTTAACAACTTTTAACAACTATCAATGGCGGCTGAAGTTTAAATGCACAAAAGTAAGCCATAAATACAGTTTCCACTATCAAAGTAGTCACACTTTGTTGATCCAAACACTGCTGATCTCTCAACACAAATGATGGGCAGATTAAACAGTTCATTTCGATGCTTCTCCCACACAGCGGGTGTTTGGATCTAACTTCCGCGTTTATTGCTCGGACTGTATCGCAAGATCTCGAAAATCCCGCGCATGCTTGTTTGCCCCCCTCAGGTCTCCGCACCGGAGCGGAGCCGTTGTAGAGCGGGTACCAGTAAAAATTGAGTTCGGAAGCAAGCGGCTGCGGAAGGCGGGGGCGGACCGGACCGGACTGGAGCGGAGCGGAGCGGAGGTAGTGGAATTTGGGGGTTACTGTCTTGATGGCTTCCAAAGTTGAACCGTTCAAAATGACACGCGTTTCAACAAGAAAGGGGAAATCCCACTTCCTCCTTTCAAAATAAAATACGTTTCAAAATAAAACAATGCGAGGAGATTGAGGGCTAGGTAGATGTGACTTACTTGCAATTCAGGGATCTAACTAAAGATTGTCATTAAGATTTCGTTCCACAGCAAGGCTCTGCAGCCTGCGGCTATGATGGCACGTCGCAAGTCTTTGCCGCTACCCTACCAGCTAAAAGAAATGTGGGCCTTTTACTGGAATGGCATCAAAATGCACCAATAGGTCTTTTCCACAAAGACCCAAATAGGTTGTTGGAGAAACACATTGCAATTTATTGCTGCCAAACACATGAAAAGCTGAACTCACACACTAAGGAAAATCGAGGTGCCAGCCGGCACCTGTTTTCAAGGATTTCACACACAGAGGCCGGCCAGACTCATCTCAAACTGGGGATGAGGGCGTTTTACTGGAAAGGCCTCAAATTGCAGCATTCCATTCAAAGGCAGCCAAGGGCACAACTGTCTCTGCACCCGTAAAACAGAGGACAGAAGGCCAAGTCTTTCTATGGCTGTACCACCCTGAACACGCCCGATCTCGTCTGATCTCGGAAGCTAAGCAGGGTCGGGCCTGGTTAGTACTTGGATGGGAGACCACCTGGGAATACCAGGTGCTGTAAGCTTTTGTCCTTGTCTTTTGAGCCAGCAGAGGGTGCTGTTACGCACTCGCCCTTCTGAGGAACAACACATTACAGACCTCAAACAGCTACAACAGCATATTGCACTTTTCCTTAACACAGAAATGTCAAAAAGTCCATTCCCTGGGCCAATCATGTTTTAAAAGAGCGTTTCTTCTTCAATACGTTCACATTTTACTTCCCAAGTTGCAATAGAGAAAATCCAACTCATGTATCTGTGACTTACTTGCAATTCAGGGATCTAACTAAAGATTGTCATTAAGATTTCATTCCGGAGCAAGGCTCTGCAGCCTGCGGTTATGATGGCACGTCGCAAGTCTTTGCCGCTTCCCTACCAGCTAAAAGAAATGTGGGCTTTTTACTGGAATGGCATCAAAATGCACCAATAGGTCTTTTCCACAAAGACCCAAATAGGTTGTTGGAGAAACACATTGCAATTTATTGCTGCCAAACACATGAAAAGCTGAACTCACACACTAAGGAAAATGTCACCTGGTTGCTGAAGTTGCTGGAAGTCTGTGCGCCACCACTTGATCAAGCACAGCGGTTCGCTTGAATGACCGGGAGAAGAAAGCAGCAAATCCACCAAGGTCTGAAAAGACAGTTCTGATCCTGCGGATGTGTGAAGTTGCCTGTTGCATGATGAGGTTCAGCTGATGGGCATAGCAGTGGATGTAGTGTGCACTTGTGTACACATCATTCACCTTACCCCGGCTTTCCACAGGAGCCGTCAGCAGCACGTTACTGCAGCAGCACGTCATAGCTGCTGACAGGAACCGCTGTGGTAAACAGAACCTTTTCCACCGGAGCCGTCGGCAGCCGTCAGCAGCGCGAGTCGGCCGCGTCTCAGGAGCAGCATGTCGCAGCCTTTACGCGCCGGTTCTATTTTCTACGAGCGACGCCTCTGAAACGGGTCAAGTTCGACATTTTTGGGGAAGGAAAGACAGGAAATCGGACGCGGAAATGGAGAGAAGCTCTCGAGATTTTCAGAATAAAGAACGTACTGCCTTCCGGTTGCTTTACTTTTAAAAAAGGTTACTAACTGTGCGGCCCCGTGAAAAGTTATCACCTAGCTAGCGGTCTCCTTTGTTTTTCAGGTCCGTATTGGCGATTATAAAACGGACAGAACATAAAACACGAACCATGTTGTAATTTTCTCCTGCTTGTTGTTGTGTTTACTGACGAAGTCACTCGTGTGACTTCGTGTTCTGTCGGTGACAGCTGCTCCCCTGCTGCTTCACGTCTCGTGGGAAGGGCCAAGCAGCAGCTTACGCGAGCAAGACGTGCTGCTGCAGTAACGTGCTGCTGACGGCTCCTGTGGAAACCCGGGGTCACACTGCACTCCACCTGTGGCTCCCCTCATCACTGCAGCCCCATCATAGGCCTGGGCAATTAGTTTTCCCTCTTTTCCAGCAGGGATGATCTTGCTCAGCCTCTCCAACAGTGCTGTGGAAATCGTGTCAGCGGTTGCATTCTGAAGAGGGATGAACTCGACAAAACGCTCTTGAATGCTGTTCTGACTGTCGAGATACCGTAACACAAGCACCAACTGGCAGCGGGTGGAAATGTCTGTAGTCTCATCTGCCTGAATAGCAAGATAATCTGCATTGTTCACCTCTCCAAGAATGTGGGTTTTAATAACTTGACAACATACAGTCCAACAGCTCGTTCTGCACGGTCTTTGAGGTGCCTGTCGCCGTCTTCAGATGATCCTCCAACACATTATCAAGTGAAGCAATCAGATCCTCTAGGCCCCTGAAGACGCCCGGGTTGTGTGAGGATTCAGTCTCATCATGGCCAGGCAAAGCCTGCTCAAATGCTCCACAAAATTTAACACAGTCAATTATCTTGGACAAAATGTGCCGGTTCCGATCCACTTCTTCATTGTGTTTCTTCACTGCAAGCCTGTGCCCCTCGTCGAGCTGCATGGCAATGTTAGCTCTGCCTAGCATGGCTAGCTTCACCGTGTTGTCCATGTGTGCCCGGGATGACTCGTGTTTCTTCACCTTCTCAGAAAAATGTTTCATGTCTGTAACTCCTGACACAATCCATGCCTTATCTGTCCCAGTCGTTTGGAATAACAAACACGGAAAGCAAAATAAAGCATTAGCGTGATTGCATCCAGCTAGCCAAGCCTTCCTGGTGTACCAATTTCGGGAGAAGCCTCGTGTGTAGAGTTTACCTTTCTCCTTGTCCTGCTGGTTTATCATTACTTCGGGCTGATCTGGTCCAAGCTCTTTGACATTAAGTTTTTCAACCATTGTTCTCCTCTCGAACGGATACTGGAGAAGAGACCGAACTGAATTCAGTGGCTGCTGAGATCCGGTATCCATGCTCGTTGTAGGCTCACTCTTGTCCATCACTGCATCTGCGTCACAATACCTTGCTTGAGTCGAGCTCAACCCGAACACCAACGAACAGCCTTGGGCGGTAGCTCTATCGCCCTTCGGGCTTCCGAATCAACAACGCTGATTGGATGCATTCCCATTCCTATGCGTTTGATTTTCTTGTAATTGGCTGGCTGCTTCACTGCTGTTTGGGCGATCTTTCTGTCGCCTCCACCGCTCGGCAGGGAGCTTCTCACCAATGATATATATATGTATGATTTGTTTTTGTTACAAAACACACAATTAACTTAGAATATGTGATTATTGTTAATTTTATTTATTTATTTTTTTAAAGAGCAAGTCACCCCCAAATAAACTTTTTTTTGCTGATAAACTAAATAAACGAGTGTCTAATCGTGCTGCAGACACGTGTAGTCAATAATTTGGCACTTCAGTGCATCTTAGTTAAAATTTAAATATTCTGCCTAAAACTGGCAGTGTTGTGCCGTTGTCAGGTAAAAACTCTGCACTGTTTTTTAATTTAAATCTGCCACCGCTATTGGCTAAGAAGTATGCTATGATGTAAACTGGTACATTATGATGTCACAATGCTGTCGTGAGCCTGAGTGTGTGTGTATTTGTTAGCGGCTCCGCCCTCTCGGTCTGCCAGGCAACAGCATGTGTTGCATTTTTCAAACATGAAGTGGGAGTGGAGTTAGACTCTGGTAGGAGTTGACTTGCTCTTTAAATAAAAATTAAAAACACTGGGGAAAACGGGGGGGGGGGGGGGGGGGGGGCTATCGCCCTCTAGTGGCCAGCCACCACTGGGCATTAATCTTATAGTACAAGCAGTAGAGTTGTTATCATCTGTAATATGTTTTAATGGTGGGCTGGTTTGATTAATATGTGTGATAGGCTGGCCGATCAACTGGTTGAGACACCAACCAGTCCTGCTACATCTACATACAAACAGTCCAAAGAACTGGGTGTGAGCGTAGCCTCTGTGTGGCCCTCCACATACGGCCCCTTGAACACCCAGATGGTCTGTTACACATACGTTTCTGGTTCTGATCAAGCGGCCAATCAGTCAACAATATTTACATACAAACAGTCCCAAGTCAATATATACATCTGTGGTACCAAGAACTGGGTGTGAGTGTAGCCTCATTGTGGTCCCCACAACATGATGAACACAGGCTTTAAAAACTCTGGACATCTCCTGTGATTTAGATTCATCATATATTTCCCCCAGTTTCAGCTGAGTGTCTCATTTAGTAACAAAACATGATTGTGAACTCTCTCTCAAGTCAAGTTTATTATATAGCCCATTTCATACACAAAACGGTAGCCCAATGTGCTTCACATAGTTAAAATAATCACAAGTGAAATGAAATAGTTAAAATGTCACATCATGTTGTGTAAAATAAAATCAAAGAATATTGACACAGAACATGGCACACAAAAATAAAAGCATATTAAGTACAATTATTGGTAGCGCATTCTCTTACAGTCCAATTACTTAGTACTTACATGGTAATTCCTTAGTGTATTGTTTCTGAGTACTTAAACTGTTATTACCATGCAACTCAGGTTCAATTCTAGTTTTTATCTTTATTAATCATTCCTAGTAAATACTGCTTTACACAGTAACTACACTTTATTACAAGTATTCACTTAATTACACAATAATACACAATAAAACAGCACAGAATAGGTATACATATAAAATACATATAGAAGAAATTCAACACAGTACAGATAAAGACCTAGTAGAGCGCAGATGCAAGGATAGGTTAATGGAAGGCATCATGAAAAAGTTCATTTTTAATCTGGTTTTAAAAATGGAAATGGTGGGAGAGGTCTTAATGTCTATTGGAAGACAGTTCCAGAGACGGATCGCATAGCAGCTACAGGCAGCCTCTCCGTGCTTGGTGCGGGCTCTGGGTTGTACCAGTTGGGATTTATCTGCTGATCTAAGTGATTTTGAAGGGTGAAACGTTTCAAACATCTCTGCTATATACAGAGGTCGTTGGCCATTTAATGATTTAAAAGTAAGTAAATGGTCTTTGAAATCAATCCTGTAAGTTACTGAAAGCCAATGTAAATATTTTAAGATTGGTGTGATGTGATCTTTTCTATTGGTTCTGGTCTCTTGCTCTCCGTCTCTGTCCGTCTCTCTGCTCTGTGTAACGCACAGCCTTCAGACCTGCGGAGAAAAAAACCTACAAGATGCAGAAAAAAAGGATAAACCTCCAACCTTCATATTGGCAGCAATAAACACAGCAAAACTTAACTTTCATCACCAAAAAAACCCATAAAAATTATTCAGTACATCAGGAGAGCAGGAACAAGTCTTAATTCTGATTTTTCATTTTTTACTTCAATTCAAACTATTTAGACTTTTGTGTTTTCATCACATTTGGCTTGTATTTTATATAAAATATCAGCTTTACAGGTTAGCTGTTCCTGTGCGCTTAAAAAGTTATGTTACTAACCTTCTAAAAAATTACCAAATCATTCACATGAAGTAGATTTGTTATTCATTATCTGAAAGTATCTGATTAGTTTAAAAAACTAAATATGTTTTGTTTAATTTGGTTTTCAGAATGTCACTAGTTTACTGATACTTTTAAAAAATATATACTGATGTACTGAAATACAGAGAAATCAACTTGTGAGTACAATGCATGTTAATATAGTAAGTATAGCATGTTTAACATAAGCACATTCACACATGGAAAGTATCAATGTAAATAAATCATATGGCAGTAACTCTGCTGTACTTCATTGTGTAAAAGTAGCTCACGGGCCAAAAAAGGTTGGAGACCCCTGCAATAGATCATTCAGCCCTAGTGGATACTTAGATGATTGTTTAAAGTTTTCTTTCAGCTAAGTCTTCGTCCACGGAGCTCACAAGCAAAAGGCTTCTGTCCTTTATGGACTCTTCTGTGACCGTTTAAACTGATCTTTTGGGTAAAACTTTTCCACCGAACTCACAGGTGAAAAGCCAGTGTGGACTCTCATGTGTTTGTTTAAATTTGTCTTTTGGCTAAATCTTTTTACACAGAGCTCACAAGTAAAGGGCTTCTGTCCTGTGTGGACTCTCATGTGACTGTTTAAATTTTTCTTTAGGCTAAATCTTGTTCCACAGAGCTCACAAGGAAAGGGCTTCTGTCCTGTGTGGACTCTCATGTGACTGTTTAAATTTGTCTTTACGCTAAATCTCGTTCCACAGAGCTCACAAGGAAAGGGCTTCTGTCCTGTGTGGACTCTCATGTGTTCATCTAAAGACCCTTTTTGGCTAAATCTTTGTCCACATAGCTCACAGGCAAAAGGCTTCCAACCTGTGTGGACTCTCATGTGTTTGTTTAAAGTTGACTTTAAGCTAAATGTCTTTCCACAAAGCTCACAAGGAAAGGGCTTCTCTCCAGTGTGGACTCTCATGTGTGTGTTTAAACTTCCCTTTTCACTAAATCTATTACCACAGAGCTCACAGGCGAAAGGCTTCTCTCCAGTGTGGACTCTCATGTGAACGTTTAAAAGTGTCTTTCGGCTAAATCTCGTTCCACAGAGCTCACAGGCAAAAGGCTTCTCTCCAGTGTGGACTCTCATGTGTGTGTTTAAACTTCCCTTTTCACTAAATCTATTACCACAGAGCTCACAGGCGAAAGGCTTCTCTCCAGTGTGGACTCTCATGTGATTGTTTAAAAGTGTCTTTCGGCTAAATCTCGTTCCACAGAGCTCACAAGGAAAGGGCTTCTCTTCTGTGTGGACGCTCATGTGTGTGGTTAAATTAGTCTTTTGGTGAAACCTTTGTCCACAAAGCTCACAGGCAAAATGTTTCTGATTTGTCTGGACTCTCGTGTGTTTGTTTAAATGTGTTTTTTGGCTAAAGGATTGAAACCTGGCAGCATCAGTCTCCTTATTCAAATGGAGATGCTCTCCCTCCATACTAGACCAGAGTTTCTCCTGTTCCTCCTTTTTGTGGAGAAAATCTAGGTGCTGGTGGTTGACACGAGCACTCTGTTCTTCTGAAGCTTCTTCTTTAACCAGAACCACCTGTTGAAAATCTGTAGGAAACACAGAAACATATTATGTGAATTACAGACAGCTGTAACTGTGTTTTCACACATATAACAGTTGTATTATTTCTTTAAACTGACAGTAGAATGAAATGTATTTACAACTGGAAACTGAACTTTGAGCCTCTATAAATCATATGAGCCTTAACCCTCAGGCTTCACTTTAATTTTCATACAAGTGTCATTAGAGGTCAAAAATGTCCGCTTGTAAAAGTGGCTATAAAAAATGTGTACATTCAAGTTTTTTTTCATGGATCTGTTGATCAACTTCAGCCCTGCTCAAACATAAAAAAAAATCAATCATTTTGAGGCTTTTAACCCCTGAAATGCCAGTTTGAATACTCAAAGGCATTGATGTAATTTATGAAAAATAAAATAAAATAAATAAATAAAACAAAAACCACTAAAACTGTTATTTCCTAAAAAAAAGACTTATTTGTCTGGGGTGTTTAGAACAAATCAGCCTTGATTATGTTATGAAATATCTAAGATTTTTAATTTTTTGCATTTATAGTTTTTATATAGCAACAGATTAAAAATTTACTATACACTCAAGCCATTAGAGGACAAAAATCGTCCACTTTTAAAACTGCTTTAAAAAATGGTCCAAATTAATATTTTTTTCTGCTTTTTGGGTCTAAATCTTGGGATCAACTTCAGTTCTGACAGAAAAAAATCAAATATTGAATATTTATCTAAATTTTAACCTTTTATATGCCAGTTTGATTATGTGATGCTCATTTTTCAGAGAGGGTGCTCGCTGCAGAACCACAAAGGCGGAGCTGCACCATAAGGTGGAGCTGCACCAGGGTCAGCCCCGCCCATTCACGCAAACTCAGCCTAGCCCACTGACTTCCGTTTTTGTTTTCCAACTTCATCGCAAACTAACCTGACCCACATGAATTATGGCTGTTACTACTTTACAAATGTTAATGCTATGTTCTATGCTCCAATTAAACAAGATAAATATAACTTGCTACATGACAAAGCCTGAATACATCTTGAAATGAAACGATTTCTCTTAGCAGATATCTGCCCACAGCCGCTCTAACAATAATGTGGTGCAACAGCATGGGTGATTGTCATATGTGCTCTGGTAGTCCAGTGGTAAGATCATCTGAAGCAAATTTTGCTTCCCCCTCAGCAGATTCTGGTTCGATTCTCGGTGAGGTCGGCATCAATCTATTTAGCCAGCTGAAACATTGAATTCGTTTATATTTTAGTTGTAATGTTTATTTTCAGCAAAATATTTATGTCTCTAAAAGTTCTTTGAATTTGGTCGTTCCTAAACAGCATTTTAGTTGAAACTCTGCTCACAAATGGACTCACAATGGCTAAATAAACGAATAAATAAATAAACACATTAGTCATTATATTGTAAACGGTATACCAGTAAATTGTTGTAAACAGTACTGGCAAGTGTAGCTAGAAATTAAGAAAAGGAGTTGTAATCTACCTAAGATTTCTGCCACTGGGAGTCGAACCTGCGCAAAACTGCATGCAAACCTGCCTCCATAGCCTCTACCCCACCACATCTGATATGAAGTAAGTGGCGTTACATGTAATTGTCCTATCCAGTGTGTCTTTGGAGATGGGATGTATGGTTTATTGGTGGTGTCTCAGTAGAAGTCATTTCAGAAATAATTTGTCAGAAAATTCACAGAATATCCAGATTTGAGAACCAAGACCAGACCCACTTCAGGGGAGGAGACCAAATTGAAGCTGAGATGGGAGGAAAATGCATTAATGAGGCCAAAAATGGCTTTGGCGTGTTTCTTATGAGGAAATGACAATATAACATGATAAAAAGTTCCAAAAGTTAGATTTTTAATTATATGGAACCTTTACAAAAACTGTTCAGTTAACTTCTCACCTCCGTCCTCAATCTTGTATTTTTTAGCTATAAAACCCTCTTTGGTTCCAGAATGCTATCGAGTCTGACAACTGGAAGGAATTGTACTGACTCTGATGGAATGGACGGGGCTGACTCTGGAATGGGCGGGGCTGACCCTGGTGCAGCTCCACCTTCTGGTGCAGCTCCACCTTTGTGGTTCTGCAGCGAGCACCACTTGATTTTTCATGGAAAAAAGCAGACAAACGAGGAGATATTTTTCATAAAACATATTTTGAGTGACTGAAAAAACTGTTTTAAATCAGCCTTGGATATGTCAAGAGTCTGGCAAAATATCCCATTTTATGCTTTTTTAGTTTTTGTGTAGCAGCAGATTTAAAATTTACCACCCTCTTGTTCCTGTTATGGTCAAAAACGTCCCATTGACTTCATTGCAAACCACAGTTTTTGATCCTGTATTATCTGCATCAAATATCAGGGGTGGACCTTTAAAGCGCCCGAGCGCCAATGGCGCTAAATTTTCTCGTCGGGCGGTAAATAATTGACAACTTACTGCCCAGGTGAACCCAAGCTTTGTTTGTCATTCACACACCGCCTTTCACCGCCCCCTGTGGCCACGCGTAGTAGTGTTGGGATGCATCATGGCCGCGCCGCCGTTTTAGATTCCACTGCGCACAGGACTGCACAGGTTCACGTGACTAGAGGCGAGTTCACTATAAAAGACGGAGTGGAACCACGCTAGAAACACACAAACACGCAGGAAGATGGCGCCAGCATAGGGATGGAATTTCTTGATGAAACCTCTGGCAAAATGGTTTAAAACTGGTGAGGAGAAGCGAGACAGTTCGAAACTGTATGAAGCAGAGAAGCGTGTGCGTAGGTGGAATGATTCTTGGCGGTTTAAAGTAGACGGGAGGCGCCGAGAATGGCTCGAATACAGCAAAGCGGAGGAGGTGATGTACTGTGTTGTATGCCAGAAGTATGCAACAACTAAATCGAGTTTTGTTGAGGGAACAAACAAATTCAAACTAGAATACGTGAAAGACCACGAAAAAACAGCGAGCCACATGAAGGCAGAAAAGACTGCTCTTGCAAATACAGCAACGGTAGGAGTCGCCAGCTGCAAAGGCCCTCGTGGCGATGACGAAAGCACAGCAAGACAAACTGGAAAAGTTGTTTCGTACGGCTCACGCCATTGCGAAGAAAGGAAGGCCATACACAGACTTCAGTTGGATGTGCAAGTAAGTATTATTTGCTTAACAAATTATCAAAATACTGGATTTGATCTGTTTAACGATGTGTTTTTGTCGATTTCATTGTTTGATGGAGAAAAAAAGAACCAGAAAAGACGCACTGTAAGTCATCTTTGATTTTAAAACATTTTTTTTCTGTTTAACTGCCATCAGCTTGTGGACCTGCTGCTGACCCTGCCTGCATCTACAGCTGAATGTGAAAGAGGTTTCAACCACATGAAAATGATAAAGAGTGACTGGCGTTCCAGCCTGTCAGGGAAGAGTGTGGGCGAGCTCATGCTGTTACTGTCGGCAGACATCAAAAACTTCGACCCGAAGCCAACCATAAACATATGGTTTCATGATGTCCAACGGCAAAGGCGTCTTGATTTCATGGATGGAAAGACTTCCACTGTTGCTGAGATGGACGACGCAGAGCCAGAGGAAAATTTCATGTGCGTGGGTCACGGCCGCTTGCTCTCCATGATGAGCAAGACATATGAGGACGAGTTTGACAAGAACTTTGAGGTTAGTCCACCACTAGCCAAATATTCAGCCTGCATCACAATGGTGCCAGAGACTGACACAGTGCTGGTTGTAAATATGTATATATATATACAGAAAATAGGGCTGGGGATAAACGATTATTTTTAAAATGCTTATTCTTACCATTATTTTATCGAATAGTCGACTATTCTAATGACCATTTAGATGATTAATCTAGCGATTATTTTTCTATTGCACAATTGATAAAAACCAAAAAATCTCTAATAAATTCCTCCAAAAAAGTGATAAATTGTTACTGTAAGAGAATAAACACTACAAGCCTTCCATTTTGTATAACACTGCTTTTATTGTGTTGCGGTTGGTTATGTTCTGGTGACGTGTAGAACATGGGAGTGCAGGCTGCTGCCTGAGAGGTGGTTGGAGACGGAGAGTCACCATGCTGCTTTGATTTGGTCACTTATGTGCGTGAGGCGAGTGGTGTTACGACTCTTCCTGGGGAGTTTGGCTCGTGTGTAAAAAGGAAGGGACAATAACGGGATTTAAAAGTTAAAATGATGATCAGGTTTATTTACAACAACAAAAACACATAAATCTTTCCATCCACAGGTTGGGAATAATAAAACTAATTCTGCCTGTGGGGAATTAAAACAAAAGTACAAATAACTAGGGATGTCCCACTGGGCAAAGATTACTGGGTTCTGGACCAAAGTAAGGATCTCCAAAGGTCCAACTCTAAACTGGGCAGTTAAACCAAACTCAAGGTGATATTTTAAACTAAACCAAAAACCCACGACACTCTAAATGTAATAAAAGGGAGATCTACACCACAAAAAGATGAACTCTAAACCAAAAAGGTACAGCTTATCCAAACGCAAGAAGCTGTTAGCGAAAATGCTAACAGTAGCTTTACCAGCGTTAAATTCAAGTTACCAAATTTCAGTCACAATAATCGTGATTATTGTTTTTGCCATAATCGAGCAGCCCTACCTACAAATGAAATTGTTACCTTTTGACAAAAATGATTATTTATTGTTACACATTTGTAAATAAACATGTAATTTCTTGTCAAAAACCATTTTATAGTTTGGTTTTACTATTTTTACACAAGGTAACTGCTTTTGGGGTCTCTGAGGTGTAAATAAAGCAAAGTATATTAGTGTCAAAGACAGTTTACTGCGTTAAATCTCTCTTGACACAAAAAGCCTGTTTTCTCCGTTTTTGGTTCAGAAACAGGCATTTCTGCTGAAACCCACCTGAGTTCTACAGCAAATTATGAAAGAACGGAAAAGGTTTAAAACGAGCCGTTTTCTCCTGATGAAAGAAGAGAGTTAACTCTTTCATTTGGTAGTTTTGGTGTTTGCATAGTCATAGAGCACAATATTCTGTGTCTCTTCAAAAAACAGTAAAAATACTCAAAATGGCCGACAGTGAGGGGCTTTAGTGATCAGAAAACGGCTGGCAGTGAATGAGTTAAGAGGTCTGCACCAACAGTTGAAAAGCCAGACTGAGAGGAGCTGGAGAGAGAAGCGCAG